CGATCAATTAGTGTCTGTTTTATAAGATAAGGAGATAACAACATCATAATAGGTCGATTCTAATCTCAGGGGGTTATAACATATTTGATAAAAATTCTCGAATCGAGATATTTGGAGACAAGTGGAAGTGTATACCTTTCTTCGCTTTCGATTTGTCCTGCAACACAAAAGAAGGATGAGCGAGTCAATTTACTGTCGGATCTCGTCAAAAGCGAGCATGATTACTCGAGAACCAATTGGACCACCATTGAGAAAAACCCACAGTCGATAAATAATTTGATTCAAAAATATAGGGGTAAAGATGCATCGGGGTTTTTGGCAAAAGCTTGACAAGCTCCCGTCCGAGTATCGATTCAGTTAACTTGGACCTTGGGGAGGTATCTAGGGGAAAAAAGGGTAAAGATTGGCTCAGACCAAACTGTCTCGAGAATAGTTGAGGGTAGTAAGTAATGAACTTGAAATCTTTGGATTGGAAACCCGATACTAGTATATCATGAGTTAAATAGTTATTCCATACATCTACCAACTCTAGTTGTAACCCATGAGTTGAAGCAGGGAATTTTGATTTAAACCAAATTGGCCCCCTGAGTTGATCACTTAGTCGTCCCAGATGTACGGTAAAAGGAGCCAAAGTCGAATCGAAATTAACTTTAGTTAACAAAAAGTTGAGGTATCTACAATAAGCAGCTTCATCGGGCTTCTGGTGATGATGGCGAGAAGACAATCGGGCCCCTTCTATATTAACACTCGAGGGGACGGCCGAAGTTGGGGGAAGGATGCTCTCAAAAATCGAATTTAGCCACAACTGTATAAACCAAATAGGGCCAGAGAAATTTCCAGAAGCCTTAGGAGTACTCAAAATTTCGACGGTCTCGTCGAAAGCAGTATATACATGTGCTAGAAAAAATTTGGCCAAACATATTCTAGGTTGGCCTAGGTGAAGGAGATATGCAAGGTCAAACATATGGGAGGAGATTTGGATCGATCGAGGGCAAAAAACGTGGGTACACAACCAATACACCAAAAAGGCGATATGCTCTTCATCAGTTACAGTTATCGATTCATCATCGACGAAATGTTTCTCAAGGAAATGCCCATAAGCTTTCGATTCCCAATCGATTTTAGATCTCAGAGAATTATCCGAGGGACATGCACCTTTAAAATATCTTTCCCCTATAGGTTCTAATCCAGTAATGGCCGCGACTTCAAAAAGGGTAGGCGAAAGAGGACCGCAAGGTAATTCCATGGCATGTATTTCCTTATTCCACAAGTGAACGACAGCCAAAAACATAGCCATGTCCAAATGAGATAAGTCACATCGGGACAGGTGCAAAAAATCAAAAATTCCCACGCTTCTCCAATGATCCTCGAATTTAGCTTTAACCCTATCAAACCATCTAATGTACAAAGGTTTTTTGGAAGGAGGGCTTGTCCGATACAGCTTAGAGACAAGGTTCAAGAAATCAATCCTAACTTCAGGTTGGTGTACAAGAGCCGAACTATTCGAGAAGTTGAGGGGAGAAAAGGTTCCATCAATAGGACGAAGAGGACCCCCAAAAGCGTAATTAACACCATCAGCAGTGTAAGGAATAAGTACCTGCGTTTCAGCAATTTTCCGAGAAGCTTCCTCCATCAGAGGGACTGGAGCGAACTTCTGATTGTTGATCTCCAGCAGGTTCGATGCCAATGAGGGAAGGGGTGGAGCGGAAAAGTCAGAAGATTTGGAGGAAGTTGCCATTTCAGTAACTGGTAGGGTGAAGAAAAGCAAGGTAAGAGATGAAGGCGCAGGGATGAAGACAAGAGCTCAAGGAAGAAGATGAAGTTGCAAAGGGTAAAGGTTCGCGTGAAAACCAGAGTAAAGACCAATGGAGAGATTAAGGGGAAAATCACCTAGGGAGCTGGAAACGACGGAGGCGAAAGGTAATTAATGTGACTTGTACCGTAAGGCAGCAGACTGACGAGACGGCGACATAAAGCAAAAAAGAAACCCAAAACCCCTTAAACCCTAGAACCCCAGAAACCCTAAGTTCTGTGGGCCTCCAAATACTAAGGCGGGAATATTGAAAGAATATAAACAGAAACTATTCATATTCTTCCAAGGGGGCATTTTGTTAGTGTCAAATCGAAAAAAGCGATCGAAATCGAAGGAAAGAAAAGCGAGAAAATATGTGACTGATTGATAAATCGATAAGATAGACAAAAAACCATTTGATGTCTAATTAGAAGTACGTAGCACATAACATCGAGAAGCACAATCGAGAATCGAGTGAAAGATAGCCAAATGCCTATTGTCGAATAAAAACTAAGAAATTAGAGTTATATGAGGTCAAGGTTAAAAAAGAATCGTAAACAATTTGGAGTTCTCGAAAACACAAAATCGAAAGTGAAGAAAGCCAATCTACGTGGACATCGAGACTTTGGCCAAACCGTGAAAGGAAGAATAGTCAAACGCACATATAGGAAACAGTTTCTAAACCATAATAGAAGTCGAAGATCGTGAGAACGTGGGAAACTGTAGAAGATAAACTGCAACATGCACGTAGAACGTGGTAGCAGTTTTGTTAACTGCTCCTGGAAGGCTTGAATGATGTCCTATAAATAGAGCAAAGGAGGAAGGAACAGGGAGGTGGAAATTGGCAGAGAACAGGATTAGTAGTGAAAAAGTCTACCGGAGAAACGACGAACACCATGAAGCTTCTGACAATCTGGATTTCCATGCTCACGGAGTACCTTTATCGTTTTCTTTATTTCCCTTGGTAATTTAGTTTGATGCAATTTATATTCAGCAATTTTATGATTCTGTATTTTCGATTCTTCGTCATTTCGATTCGATGCAAGTTAAGTTCCCGTGTTTAAATTCCCTGGTCATTTTACATTAATGCAATTTCGATTTCCAGTCATTTATTGCACCTTTGATTTACTGTCCTTTACATTTCCTACAAATTCGATTTCTCGGTATTTACATTGTTGCTGTTTCGATTCCCTGTCTTTTACACTTAAAGAAAATTTAAGATTTTCGTAGTTTACGTTTCTTTGCAGTCTAAGTTTCAGCACTGTTTTTCGATTCCATATATTTTCTGTTTTCTTTACTTCGAGTATTCTTAATACAAAACACCAAAAATAGTACATTTGAAATCGGGTAAAATTCGATCCTCATACACATTTTGATTGAAAATTAATTTGCTAGCCTAAGCAAAAAGAACTTACGTGGTAGAATTTTGATTAGGATCAAAATATCTTAGGAGTCGAAATCGATCGAAATTCCACCGAAAGCAGATGACAAAAAAATTTCTAGTTAAATAAATGAGGAAATAACTATAAAAATATTACTCTTCAAACTATTTTGTTATAGATTAACTATAACTTTATTTATTAACTATTTCATTACTAATTAATTACAAATTAATTAAAAATAAATTTCGTCCCAAATTTTTTTTGCTAATTGTCAAATTTTTTGTGGTGAGGATTTACAAGTTCTTTCTCCATTTGCATATATGTTAGTGTTACATTTATACCACGTCAACGTGCCAACAAGCATAACCTCAATGTCACGTTGTATTTTTTATTAAACATCTTTGCAACGTTGATGAAAGAGATTACAATTGCTTTGTTTTAAAAAATGTGGAATCAAATTGACACCAAATATAATATTGAGATAAAATGCAATATGTAATACCAAGCAATAATAGAAGAAATGAAGTCATATTTCATACCAATCGATTAGCATGTTCATCCGTTCTTTTTATTTCATTTTATTATTATCCTTAAATTTTGATACAAATTGAGACATTAAAAAATTATAATTACATTGATTATAAACTATTAAAATTATTAATAAACTAATTCAAACTATAAAAAACAAGTTTTAATCATTTAATTAATTTTAAAAATGAATTAGAACATCATTACACAATATAAAATAATAAAATAATATAATCAGAAGTGAAGACGAAGATAAAAAAATATAAAAATTAAATGAAAAAGATAAGAAAGATGAAAAAAAATCTAATCTAATGCATCTTCAATTAATATAATGAAGGAAATATTGGTACAAAATTAAAGTGAATCGGATTTGAAAACTAAATTATGAACACATGAAGAAAAGAGAAAGTGAAAAAGAAGCTTAACTTGTGAATTTTATTCTTTTAAAGTTAATTTGTAAATTTTATTATTTTAAAGTTAACTGGTGACTTTTTTATCTTTTAAAATTTATTTATACAATAACAAATTTGCCTAAGACATACAAGATCAATAATTATACAATTTTAATAATTATACAATTTTATAAAATAGAATTTGAATCGCACAATTATAAAATGAGATTTTGTGATATATTCGTTCAACGATTATTTTACTTGTTCAATATTTAATAAAATCATCTCCTCACTTAGTAAAATTTTCTCTATACTTAAGTTAAATTCGCTTAGCAAAATAACAAAATTTATTCGGTTAAACAAATTTTAGAATAAATATTTTATATTTTATTTAATTTATCATTCTTACAATAATAATAATAAATAAATATATAAATTAGACAACAAATTAAATATTAAATTATTTATTTTCTTTTATTAAGATTATATTTATAATATATAAAATATATTAACAACAACATTTTATCAAATGTTTCCATAAAAATATATTCAATCGATTGTAGTATTCATGATAAAAACAACAATCAACTTAGTAATAACCAGAGGAAATACTCCAGTGGCAAAGTTACGGGACAAGTTCCCATAATTGTTTTTTCTTCAATTACTTTGACAAAATGAAAGATATTCACGTAATGACAAATAAACCATTAAAAAAACTAGTCGCAATTTATAATTAATAATCAGACAGTGCAATCTTAGTTACCATTTCAACTCCTAACATATAGGCGGTGGGATATATTTATGGAGACATTGACCACCGTTGACCCTAATTTTGCATCTTCCTTTCTACTTATTTGTTTATTTATTGATCCTATCTAAGATCACGAGGAAGAGAATATCACAGCTATGCATGTTCTCATGGCCTCTTCAACACTCAATTTGCCTCTTCTCCTTTCTCTCATCCTATTCTGTAATTTTCACCACTCTTCTTCCTTCTCTCTTTCCGTTGAGAATCCCAATGAACACATACCATCCTTACCCAAAGGAACATTCACCGCAGGCTTCTACGCCGTCGGAGAAAACGCTTTCTGCTTTGCGATATGGTACACCCGCCCACCCCACACCATTGTCTGGATGGCCAACCGGGACCACCCGGTAAACGGAAAACGCTCCACGCTATCTCTTCTCGAAACCGGTAACCTAGTACTCACCGACGCCAACCAGTTCCAAGTCTGGTCCACTAACATCATCCCCACTGTATCCAAACAACTCCGCTTACATTTGAACGACACCGGCAACCTCGTACTCCTCGACGATTCCTCCAACCTTGTTTTGTGGCAGAGCTTCGATTTCCCAACGGACACGCTTCTTCCAAATCAACCTCTCAGAGGGAGCACCAATCTCGTGTCCTCGAGAAGCGGGACCAACTACTCCTCCGGTTTCTACAAGCTCTTCTTCGACTTCGAGAATGTTCTGCGTCTCATGTACCAGGGCCCTCGAGTTTCCAGCGTTTTCTGGCCGTACGCGTGGCTTCAGAGCAATAACTTTGGTAATGGTAATAGTAATGGTAGATCCACTTTCAACGATAGCAGAGTTGTCGTGCTTGATGATTTCGGTGCCATGGTTTCTTCCGATAACTTAACTTTCAAAACCACCGATTACGGGGCGGTGCTTCAACGGAGATTGACCCTCGATCATGACGGTAATGTGAGGGTGTATAGCATGAAAGATGGAGAAATAAAGTGGTCAGTATCGTTGCTTTTTCGGCCACAACCTTGTTTTATTCATGGGATTTGTGGACCCAATAGTTATTGCAGTAATCACCCAAGAAGTGGAAGAAAGTGTTCGTGTCTTCCAGGTATTTGACGAAAATAGTAGAAAAAATAGTGAATTAGGGTCTTTTTGGATAAAGTTCTTATTAGAAGAGGTAATAAGTTAAGACTCATTGAGCTTCTCTGTGAGCTAAAAATCAACTTTGCTGTCTTAGTTTCGCAGAAGTTAAATGAAAAGAACTTTGGTAAAAAATTAAGTATATATGATTATTTTAGCTCAGGCAGGAAGTTCAATTACATTACTTTCATATTTACTTCTGTCGTAAGTGTTTATGGAGAAGAATCCAAACTTATGCTATTACTTTGTTATATATAAGATAATTTTAATTTTGATGAGACAAACTTAATTTATTTGATTTTCTTCTGTGTAGATAAACATCTCAGTTTGTTCATCGAGATGTTTCCAAATTTATGCTAATTACTTTTTTATACATAAGATACTTTTATTTTTAATGAGACAAACTTAATTTATTTGACTTTCTTCTGTGTAGATAAACTTTTCAGATTGTTCTTATTCGAAAATAAACTAATAAGATAAAATATAAATTAAATTTTTCCCATGCATAAGCTAAAATCAGATTTTCTATAGAAGTTGAACTAATAAGTTGATTTGAAGTTGAAAGATAATTTTACTAATTAATTTTACTGCATATTTTTCGCTTACAAGTTTTTATGCATATGCTTTTCTTCTCCTATAGTGTTTATTAAGAAATTTATGCTATCAGGTCACAAATGGGTTGACAGTCAAGACTGGACTAAAGGTTGCATACAGAATTTCGAACCTTGGTGCAACAACAACACTGAGCAAGAGTCTCGCTTCGTACACTTGCCTGAATTTGATTTTTATGGATATGACTATGGCTTCTATCAGAATCACACTTACAAAGAATGTGTGAATCAATGCTTGCGGTTGTGCGAATGCAAAGGGTTTCAGTACAGTTTCGGGGAAAAAGATGGTCTTGGTAGTCAGTGCTACCTGAAGACGCAATTGCTGAATGGGCATCATTCACAAGGTTTCTCGGGAGTATTCATTCTGCGACTGCCTTTGTCTCATGACTATGAGAACCCCCAACTTAGTGGTTTGGTTTGTGGGGGAAATAGTGGAGGAGTGAAAGTACTAGAGAGACCGTATGTGGAAGAAAAAGAAAATGGATCGGTGAACTTCATGCTATGGTTTGCCAGTGGCTTGGGCGGAATTGAGGTTTTGTGCTTCTTTTTGGTGTGGTGTTTTTTGTTTAAGAATAATGCTGACAAACAAGCCTATGTTCTTGCTGCCGAAACGGGGTTTAGGAAATTCAGTTATGCTGAATTGAAACAAGCCACCAAAGGTTTCAGTGAAGAGATTGGAAGGGGTGCTGGAGGTACTGTGTATAAGGGCGTGCTGTCTGATAATCGAGTTGTGGCGATAAAGCGACTACATGATGTTGCAAACCAAGGAGAAAGTGAGTTCCTGGCTGAAGTAAGCATCATTGGAAGGCTTAACCACATGAACTTAATTGGCATGTTAGGGTTTTGTGCGGAGGGTAAGTATAGGCTGTTGGTTTATGAGTACATGGAGAATGGTTCTTTAGCTCAGAACCTTTCATCGAATTCAAATGTACTTGACTGGACTACGAGGTATAACATTGCTGTGGGAACTGCAAGGGGTCTTGCCTACTTACATGAAGAATGCTTGGAGTGGATTTTGCATTGTGATATTAAGCCCCAAAATATACTTCTTGACTCTGACTACCAACCTAAGGTAGCGGATTTTGGCTTGTCTAAGCTACTTAACCGGAACAATATGGACAATTCAACCTTCTCGAGGATAAGAGGAACAAGAGGTTACATGGCACCGGAGTGGGTTTTCAACTTGCCAATCACTTCCAAGGTGGATGTCTACAGCTATGGCATTGTTGTCTTGGAGATGATAACTGGAAGGAGCCCAACAGCAGGTATCCAAATAACCCAATTAGAAGCAGAATCACATCATCATGAGAGGTTGGTGACATGGGTGAGGCAGAAAAGGAGGAAAGGATCAGAAGTGGGATCATCTTGGGTTGATCAAATTGTTGACCCTGCTTTGGGATCAAACTATAATAGGAATGAAATAGAGATTTTAGTAACAGTGGCTTTGGAATGTGTAGAGGAAGAGAAAGATGTGAGACCCAGCATGAGTCATGTTGCCGAGAGGCTCCAAAGTCACGAACACAATTCTTGATGGCTTGAGCAGACAATAACCAGACATCCCATGGTTGTCACTTACATTGTTTATCATCCACGGTTTCAGTTCCTCTCGTTTTTAGGTATATTCAGTCTATCATAAATTGTCTGTAAGGCTTGTGATAAATCTTCTGTTGTTGTGCAGTTTAATGTTGCTGTTGTATATCATATTCTTGTGCTTGGAAACCGTATGTTGTTAAAGTCGTAGAATATTTCCATAATTGCAACATACTTTTGTTCCTTTAACACCCATTCTCTCTTGCTCAATTTCGACTTTATCATAATATTAGTTATTCGTACATATTCAACCTTAAAATTATGGCAACAGTTATGTAAATGTAGTTTAACAGTGATACTCGTTTTTGTATTAAGCTGAGTTATATTTATTTTCTGAACTTACATTTTATGAGAGTTGTTATTATCGTACATTCATTTTTCTTCAATCTCATTTTGGTCTATTTTTTTTCTTTTTATATTTCTTTTCATTTCTCATCACATCTTTTACTTTCTCTTTTTCTTTTTTTCTTTCTCTTACTTCCTTCCACCTATAGGTTCTTGATTACATTATGATCCCAATTACTGTGCCAATGCCTTAGCAACCTTAAGTTAGGATTAGAAGATACAAAATGAATGATTTCATTGGATAGTTGAGAGATCAGGACAGTTTCCATCAACGGGCATGAGCAGCTTTATTGAAACTTTGTGTTTGGTCTTGACTCTTGAGAGCTTTGCCATTAATTTAGTATGTTCATTGGCAGTGTCAAAGTACGCATATTATTCATAAAATTTACAAACCGGTATAAAAAAAATAATAGAAGATATCAAAATTCATAGTTTCTACCAAATAATGTCTCTTTCCATGCCATATCTAACATCCCCAGTTGAATAGAAATATGGTGCCAATTTCAAGTGGCCTAAATTAGTAAAAGGACATGACTCCACTCCATATTGATACTTCCTCAGAAAAACAAACCATCCAATTTGAGGGAAGAAAAGGAGAAAAAATAAGGAAAAAAAAATGGAAAGAAAAAAATAAATTTGAGGGGTAAGGATGATACTAACTAAGCCTGATGCTAGGAGCCTCGGGTTAAACAGCTTGTCTCTGTGTTAATAACTAAACAACTGTAGAGAATGTCACAAATATCAATTCCATCTTTGCATAGAAATGGCATTCCCAGACCTTCTAGACATTTTCCCGAACTTGACTGGAAGTCTCCGGTTGATTATCCAAGGGCATATATTGGGCCATGATTGCCCTTATTTCAGAGTCCATATATCTCTGCAGAAACATATTTACTCTTTTGTGTTAAATGAGTTTAGGATGTCAATGCTTAAATTATAGCTTTCTATCATAATTACAGTATCAGGAAAAAGAAAGACGGAATAACTGATTGTCATTTGAACCAAATTGCAAATCAGGACAACATAACATGTGTACTTTATCTGTCTTAAACTATCTGTTACTTAGATATCTTCATTTATTTTAAATTTTTTATCACTTTTAAAAAATTATAATTTGATTTTTAAATAATATTATTATCTTTTTGTGTGCTCACTAAATGGAATGAGAAGGTATTAGTGAAATGAAAAGATGATTTAAAAAATGTTGTTCTATTTTCTTAGAGCCAAAGGTATTGTATCTTTTGATAAAAAAAAGAATGCTATTGCATTATTATATTGACTACAATCCTTACTAGGTTAGCATCCCAGTTTGTATCTATCATCTGTAGCATCCCTCAAAATCAAATATAAGAGAATACAAAAGAGCTAACTTTATTTTTTCTTTTATAAAAAACTTCAGATAGTTATTTTGAGACAGCATTTCATGTGTTTCACTCTAACTTGTTTTTAGTACTCGTTCAGACACTTAAGCTTGATGACGCCTGACCTACAGCCTAGTCTTAGGTGGCTTGCATCTTGTTACTACATTGTACCACATACCGAGTGCTGCATCAGCTTTGGACTCTTAAGTCTCTATTTTTAACTGTTATGTTGAATGTTTTGGTATTAACCATGGTTTATTGACATCGTACATATCGAGCATTGTAGTGTGACTGTATTGTCTGAAACAGGTGTATGAAGGAAAATCTCATTCTTCCTGACTCTAATGAGAAGAGCCTTTCACTAATTCAGCATGTTACCTCAACATTGGGAAAATGGAGTTTTTATATTTTGAAGACTATAAATATTGAAATAATTCAAATTAACAAAACAGCTTTTTGTCTACATCTGCCTGAAGGAATATTTTGTCAAAGTCACTGTTTAAAGGAGAATCTAGTGAGTTAGAATTATACCCGGATTCTATACTTGTAGAATGCATATCCCCCAGCACCAGCAATAGCCAAGATCAAAATAACCATCCAAACAATGCCCCCACCGCCCACCGAAGCAGCATATTTTCCTGCATATTTGTAAGATACCATAAGAGTGAATATTGAATAATATATATTTGAAGTCTCAATAACTATGCAAATATCATCAACATAGATAGTTCGAAAGCCCAGAATAAAATCTCGAAACCTTTAAGAAACTACATAGTAAAAATAGAAATAAAATGTCAAAGTGAGCAACCAGTGCAAAGTCATGTTTCCATGAAGAATAATCTATTAAATTTTTACTATTAAACAAAATCTGCTGATCCAGGAAGGCAGCCAGAAAAAATAGGCATACAAACTGAGTTGGAAAATGTTAAATATAAAAACTAACCAATGCACATATCATTTTCTCGCGTGTAGTACAAACCATCACTACATGAGCATTCGTAACTTCCCCAAGTATTTTTGCATTGGCATTCTGGGCATTGGCAGGCCAATTTTTCTTTGCATTCATCCACATCTGCAACATAATCCAAACGAGAAATATTAAGAAAAAAATGTCAGACTTGCAGAATAGCTAATAGCATAACTATTTACAACTGTAGGAGCATATTCAAACATTCTCACAAAGATAAGTTAATTATTTATGTATTTTTCATTAGAAGAGTAGTGTTATCTGCCCTCTTGTTAATTCTCCTAAAAGTTAATAAAGTATTAAGAAAAAAAGTATATCTATTTAATATCTTGGAAACATAAAAATTCAATACTCTTTAATTCATTAAGTTGGAAGTTTCATTGGAAGATGTTGTGAGAAGATTTATAATTATTCATATTAGAACAGTTCAAACAAATTTTGAATGTCAAAGTACCTTTACAGGATTTGACTCCATCTCCCCTGAATCCAGGTGGACACTTGCAACCTTTGGTATGGTCATCCTGCATAATCATTTAAGAAAGAAGGCATGATCAACATTAAAAGACAAAGAGCATACAAGATCATGTAAAAAAGGATGCCGAGGATTACTTACAATACAAGCAGAGTAAGTCGTGCTACCTTGGGTTTCTTTCCAACAACCTCCATTGTTGATTGCACACCTCAAGGCGCCTGTAGCTGCTTAGAAATTAAAATGTGTGAATGTGAATTTATATGTTGCACTTTATAGCGTGGAGATGATCACATGAAGCAATTTATCCAAATTAAAGAAAGTAATTTACCTTCACAATGGGTATATCCATCACCAACAAACTGGACATTCTGTATAATTGGGCATTCACATATTCTTCCTCTGAAAGTGTCCTATAATTTTGAAAGTGGTTAAAACCAAGCCTTACCCCACATGAATTGAAGTGTAGTAATATAAACATTCACAAAAAATATGGTAGAAATGACAGAGTTAACTAACTACCCTGCATGCAGAAATGTTAGCAGCATTGTCCTGCCAACAGCCACCATTGTTTTGCAAACACTCATTAGTTTCCATGTCTGCAAAGGATAATCAGAGTTACCTGATAGCAATTCTTCTATTCAAAACAAGGAAAGACAACACATATTACACATTGCCAGTTGAAAGATGAGTTGATAAGATTTCATTTATTGGTTCTTCTCCTAGGATGTTTGGGGGAAAAGAAGAAATGAAAAAAAGGACCTGGAGTTAAACAAATTGATGGCTCAGTGGTCTCTTGGAAACCTGAACAGATTGCCTTGAGTACTGCTGCTTTTGACAGCTTGCCTAAAATTAGTTCAAAATAAAAATTATTCATCAGAACAAGGTTACACTGCCATGAGGATATTCAGAAAGGTTGTCAAACCTCTATATTGTCTGTTGTTTATAATAAGAGTAGGTAGTATAGTAACATCCCCACGGTCGCCGTTACCAATCTGAAACAAAATTCATAAACCAACAGAATGGCCGAATTAGAGAACAGAAACAATCCTAGAAGAATGCCATCAGAAGTTCTCCTGTAAGACAAACCTGTGCATCCTGTTCAGCATTGAGAACAGGGTTCTCTACATTTGCATTAGGATCTCCTATACAATCTTTAACTTTCTTCAAATCAACACCTGTAAAGTATATGAGGAAAGAGTTAACAAGCATGTAGCATATCTCCCTACTTTGACTAATGTAACAAAACATTTCCCCAGAAAAATTGAGATGACAAATGAGAAGTTTACTTAAATTTTTGCCAATAGATAAGTAAAATTATAGCTATGACTTGATTTTTATGTAAATAATGGCTGTTATGTTTGTATAACGAAGATACAAAATTGGTTTTGTTCAACATATATACACATAAAAGCTCGAGCATTGTACATCACCGTGAAACTTCTAAGAGCAATGACAGAAAATTTTGCCAAAAGATAATAATCACATTATTATGTAAGAAAATATGTTATATACTAGTAATGTAAAATAATTTTATACCGTAATCTAATCACAAATCACTCATGTATGATAAGTTTAACTAGTTTAAAAATCATGTCAAAGATAGTTCTTGATCAGTTGATTATGTAAATGTTTTATACTAAAAAGGTAGTTCTTAATGTGAGAATAAATGAAAAATCCATATATGGTTTTTCTTAATATAAGATTGGAAAAGTTCTGTCGTACGCTAACAAATCTAACAGCAAAGAGAAGCACAAGTCCACTGCAAAACGTATCCAACATACCAAGAGATTTAATAACTTGGTCTGAGCAGTCTTGAGTATACTTATTTTCTTTCATTGGACAACGGATTGAAAAGTCAGTCACGTAGTCCCACCATTGCCAAGGCTTTCCACTTTCATTTGCCACTTTAAAGAAGCATACTTGACGTAAGTTTTGGATAACAACATCTCTACCATTGTACCCTCTTTTGTAATCTAGCTCAGGATCTGGTGCACAGTACCTCCCATTATTTATGCACTGGGACTTGCACTGTTGACTCAATATAAATGCTTCTGGACAATACCAAGTTATGTAGTGAGGGGTAAACTTTGCAAACCCTTTCTGCTCTAGTAATTGAGCTGCCCCTTTAAAACCCTTGACAAAGTTAAGTTCACTTTCACACTTTGGCCCACACTCATCATTGCTACTTGTCCAAAACTCATACTCTACTCTCTCATCAGGATGAGGAAGAGCCTCTCTCCAATCAAGATTTACATTCACCATTTCCCCACTAGCGAGAGCATGCTTGATATTATCCCCTAGTGATTTGCTGATAAGGGCAGAAGGAATGTTGATCTTCTCAACATAATCGTCGTTGCCAGCACCATTTCCTTCCTCAGGTGTGTCCATGGTGATCAACGGTTCTGTCCTGTCATCTGCAACAAGAATAGCCGCTGCTCCAGCTTTTTGTGCATTCCATGCCTTTAAAGTGAAGAAGCATTCTAACAAAAATGGCAAAAAGAAGTTTTACAGATTTTAGCATTATCATTGGAATATTTCTATCAACCAATCATATTAACAATTTGGAACCAATCACTCAACAAGAAGTATGTACCCTCCAAAATATTGAACAAGAACTTTATATTGAGAATACCTTCTAAGTTTGTGATAGCGACTCAAAAACATAATATTTCTATAACTAATGTCAAGACACATATTCCATTGTGAAAGTTACCCCCAACTATCCAACTAATGCCAATAATTGCATAAAAGAAAATGCATTGCAATGCACAGAAGATTCAATTTTCCATGCTAAAAGCACTTACTGAACAACATCTAAAAGTACTTTATGAACCCATCCCAGTTTTATCTTATACTTTTTTCCTTTGCTATATTTGAAAACTGAAGGGCATTGAAAGGAGTAAAGGGTAGCTAACCTCCTCGATCAATTAGAACAAAACTGGGAAAGGTTCCGGGCTTGGAACTCAAAGAGGCATCAAAGGGTTTACATCCATTCTGATTAGTCTTGGGGTATACCACTGCGCCAATCATGGTTCCTCCATACTTGGGAACCCCAAAATTCCCAATTGCACATTCATATATACCTTTCAACGATTGTGGAGAACTGATTTTCAAATTGTTCTTCTCCACCACAAACGTTCCCACACAAGGCCTGCAAAGCAAAATCCATACACACCACAAAAAACTTTGCTTTGTCCTCATTGTCATCATACGTTGAACACTTCCACCTCAATGGAGAAAGATCTTAATCAACAAAAAAAAAAAAAAAATCTTGTTTTAGTTAATAACAACACCGAAATTGAAATAACATGTTTGAGGAACGATCAAATTGCAAGCTTAGCTAGATGTAATGCATGCTATGCTGAGAAGGAAACCCAGATGAGGAAAATGAAAATGAAGACAAAAAACAATGGCTTTGGTGGTTGATATGTGGAAGAAGAGAAAATCATCCAAATCTAAAACCAAAAGGCGAAAGAAATGGACAATGGGGTGGACGGGTTTGTTACATTCAACGGTAATTGCACTCTTTGCAATACATATACACAACTTCACATGATTACAAAAAAAATGGACTTGGTTTTACATTTTTGTTTATTTATAATATCATTCTTTTATATTCTTTGTGAATATAAAATTTTTATTCCTCTAATCATTCTTTTGAACCTCTCTATATATTTCTTTAATTCTTATAAACTATAAAAGATATTAGAATAGTTTGTATATTTATTGATAACGTGACATGGTTCTAAATATACATCACCTTTAACATGGCCACTACACTAATATAGTATGTTTAAATTTATGCCACTAAATAATACCTAGATCTTTTTAAAAGTTATAATATTTAAGTAAAAAATGGAATAACAAAAATAAAATTCAGTCGTATTTAAATGTATTAAAAATCATATATTTAAACTTTATTATTCATATACTTTAATGCACCAACTACTAACTTCAAGAGTTTTATCTGAAAATAATAATAATAATAATAATAATAATAATAATATGACACGTTAAGTAAAGCAACAAGAAGTTAAAAGATTAGAAAAAAATATTAACATTTCTTTTTTGCATATAATTCTCTATAATAATAATAATAATAATAATAAAGTAAGTTATATAATGGATGTTTTTTTCCTTTCTCTATGTATCATCTCCCTAAAAGATTAAACTTGTATCCAAGTACATTTTTTTTTTGTAAGTTTTTTCTTAATTTTTTTATTCCATAACTGATGTTATTTTTCACATTTTTTTATTTGTCTCTTAAATTGTAAGAATTATTATGAAAAATATATTAAAATAGAATTAATTCTTTTGCAAATTTACCATTAGAGCAATTGATGACATCATAGAAATATTTATTTGTATATTTCTCTAATAATTACAAGATAATTGTAAGGTCCATTTTACGGTTTTGATAGGATTGTATTAATATTGAAGAAAACAAATATTAAAATTGTTAAATCTTAAGTGTCATAAGATACATCAAAAGAATAAGAATTGTATGTCAATATTGCTGGAGACATTTTAGTCGGATTTCAAGTAGAAGCTTCTTTTGGCCACTCAATGCCACATCCAAACATTTGATTTGTTTTGGTCAAACATATTTGTCAACAAATTACTAAAAGAGTTCTTTTGTGACTATTTCTATGACGTCATGCATAAATCATTAAGCCATGTGACAAATTAATTCTATTGATAATCATGCAACGAGAATTCTACTTTTTTTTTTAAAGTCATCAATGTAAAACTCATTAATCCAAATTATTTACTTTGCAAAATTATTATTTTATATTGCTTACTACTGTATTTTGTTTTATTCTTATACTTTGTAAAAATAGAAAGGTCAAATAATGTGTATCAATTTAAATATTAAAAATTTAATCTTTATACTAATGGAAGTTTCAAATAGTTTATTTAACTCAAATCCAAATCACAAGTAACACTAGTCTTCTTTGTCCATTTGAAGTAAATGAACTGTGGTATGCAGGGTGCTTGATTGGTGCCATTAATGGGGACAGAGTTTACATTTTTCTTTCTTTCTTCCGGTCTTGCCACCATTTGTGGTCCTGATTGAAATTTATTAATAATATTTGCTTACCGAAAAACATAGATTACAGAAGCAAAAGATAGGTTACAATCGTGGAAGTATTGTAAAACACAGGTGTATTACTACTACTGAGATTCTATTCTGCAACTGAAACAACATGATGTGGTTGCCAAACACTAGAATCTGATATACAAAAGAAGATTAAACACAATAATTGAAGATTTACCACAAAAAGACAATTTATTTATGATAGACAAAATCATCAAGAAGTGAGAACCATGGAAGAGATGGCTAATGTTCATCACTTTGGAGCCTCTCAACAACATGACTCATGTTGGGTCTTACCTCTTTGTCGTCCTGTACACATTCCAAAGCCACGGTTGCCAATATCTCCGTCTCATTCATGTCATAGTGTGATCCCAAAGCAGGGTCCACAATCTCATCCACCCAAGATGGTCCCACTTCTGATCCTTTCTTCCTCTTCTCCCTCACCCATGTCACCAACCTCTCAGGATGAGGTGACTCTGCTTCTAATTCTGTGATTTGGACACCTGTTGTTGGGCTCCTTCCAGTGATCATCTCCAAGACGACAATGCCATAGCTGTAGACATCCACCTTTGAAGTGATTGGCAAGTTGAAAACCCATTCCGGTGCCATGTAACCTCTTGTCCCTCTTACCCTTGAGAAGCTTGAATTGTTAAGATTGTTTTGGTTAAGTAGCTTAGACAAGCCAAAATCCGCTACCTTCGGTTTATAATCAGAGTCAAGAAGTATATTCTGGGGCTTAATATCACAATGCAAAATCCACTCCAAGCATTCTTCATGCAAGTATGCCAGACCCCTTGCTGTTCCCAGGGCAATGTTATACCTTTTACTCCAGTCAAGTATATTTGAACTTGATGATATATTCTGAGCTAAAGAACCATTCTCCATGTACTCATAAACCAACAACCTATGCTTTCCCTCTGCGCAATACCCCAACATGCCAATCAAATTCATGTGGTTAAGCCTTCCAATGATGCCTACTTCAGCCAGGAACTCACTTTCTCCCTGGTTTGCTACTTCATATAGTCTTTTTATTGCCACAATTCGATCATCAGACAAGACACCTTTATACACGGTACCTCCACCACCCCTTCCAATCTCTTCACTGAAACCTTTAGAGGCTTGTTTCAGTTCAGAGTAACTGAATTTCCTAAACCCCGTTGCAGCTGCAAGAACATAACCTTCTTTGCGTAACGTCACGTCATTCCTAAACAAGAAACACCACACCATAAAGATGCACACGACCTCAATTCCTCCGAAGGCAATCACTAACCACAACATGAACTTCACCAACTCATTTTCTTTTTCTTCTACGTAAGGTCTCTCAAGAACTTTCACTCCTCCACTATTTCTTCCACAAAGCAAACCATTATTGATAGGACTATCGTCATAGTCATGGAGAGACAAAGGCATTCTCAGAAAGAATGAGTTGGTGAAACTCGGTGAACGATGGCCATTTAACAACCGTGTCTTCAGATAGCACTGACCATTAACACCACTTTGCCTCGAAGTGCTGTATTGAAACCCTTTACATTCGCACAACCGCGAGCACAGACTCACACATTGTTGGTACGTGTGATTCTGAAAGTTGCCATAGTCATATCCGTAAAAATCAACTCCAGGTAAGCTTAGAAAGCGAGATTCTTGCTCAGTGTTATTGTTACACACAAGTTGAAAATTGGGTACGCAACCTTGAGACCAGTCTTCACTGTCAAACCATCTATGTCCTGTTTCGATTAAAGAAGAAATAATAATAATCCTACTGCTAGAATTATACCACTTATGAAAAAGAATCTACAGAATAAATTAGTTATTAATGAAAGCAAAACATAAATTATTTTATGCTATAATTTGTTTAAATACCTGGACAACAGGAACATTTTCTTCCACTTGTTGGCTCATAGCTGCAAAAACTGTTGGGTCCACAAATCCCATGAATTAAACAAGGTTGTGGCCGAAATATTCCTGACACAGACCACTTGTCTTCTCCGTCTTTCATGCCATACAAACGAACATTGCCGTCGTGATCCAGGGTCAATCTGCGTACGAGTTTCATGCCGTAGTCACTTGTTTTGAAAGTGAAGTTATCAGAAGAAATCAGATAGCCCAAATCATCCAGGACAACAACCCTGCTATCGTTGAAAATGGATCTACCATTATTGCCGTTACCATTGCCGAAATTATTGCTCAGAAGCCAAGCGTATGGCCAGTAAGTGCTGGAAACTCGAGGACCCTGGTACGTGAGACGTAGAACGTTCTCGAAGTCGAAGAAAAGTTTGTAGAAACCTGAGGAATAGTTGTTCCCACTTCTCGAGGAAACGAGGTTGGTACTCCCTCTTAGAGGTTGATGTGGAAGAAGCGTGTCGGTTGGGAAATCGAAACTTTGCCACAGAGCAACAATAACAACGTTGGAGGTGTCCATGAGTACGAGGTTGCCGGTGTCGTACAAATGCAACCGGACTTGCTTCGATGAGGTGGCGGTGTTGGTGGACCAGACTTGGAACTGGTCGGCATCGGTGAGTACCAGGTTACCGGTCTTGAGAAGGGAGAGCGAGGAGCGTTTTCCGTTCACCGGGTGGTCCCGGTTGGCCATCCAAACAACGGTATTGGGTGATTGGGAGTACCATATTGCGAAGCAGAAAGCGTTTTCTCCGACGGCGTAAAAGCCTACTGTGAATGTTGCTTTGGGTGATGACACCATTACATCTTCTTTGAGGTTCTCAACGGAAAGATGGAAGGAAGAAGAATGATGGAAATTATGGCAAAGAGTAGAAATGAGAAGAAGCAAGAAAAGTGTTGAAGAGCCCATTTGCGATTACACATCCTTTGCATCTTCATAAGCATTTAAAACGAAGAAGCATTTCAAGACGAGGTAGGTCAAAGGTGATGCATGACTCTACGTGAGGTGGAGATGATCCACTTTGCTCATGACAGTGACACTGTTATGTTCATTCATTCATTGGTCATTCTTTTTGAATATTTTCCCAAACATCTAATTGACATCTTAAAATAATATTTTCTTCTTGATTGATGGAATGAATAAAGTAAAACAAATAAATAATAATATAAAAAATAAAAAATAGTTGTGAGAAGAATATTTGATAATTTGAATACGGTAATCCTTTCCATGTCTAAAAATAGGTATTCTTAGTGTTGTAAGTCAAGCATTACAATTAAACCCGTATATAGACTAATTCGTCCTCCCCTGAGTTTGATGGGTTTAAAAAGTCGGGAGACAGTTGGGAGATGAGTAATGCGACCCTGAACCCATACCTACTTCCACTTTATATTTAAATTTAAAATTTAAAATATTAATACTTTAAATATATTTTTTTCTTTTTTTATTACATATAATATTATTTTTTTAATATTTCACCAATTTTTATTTTTCTTCTATCTACTTTTAATTTTTTTTATCTTTTATATCAATTAATTTATTACATTATTCTCTTACATTTCTATTTTTTACACTTCCTTAATTTCTCTCATCAAATTAATTTTTTTTAATCTTTTCAATCAATTTGATGAACACAAAGTAAATTTTTTTCTTCTTTATCTTTTTCTAAATACTTTACATAAATCATAATAATAACTAATATTATTTTATTTATAATTTATAATTATTAGGTTTTATTATGTCATATTTTTTTATCTTATTGTTCTTATTTATCATATATCAAATTTTATCTTAATAAAATAATTGAATTTTTAAAGAATTAAAAGAAATTGATAATTTAAACTTTTATTACTTCGAACTAATTAAATAAGAATTAACTTATTAAATATTTCCTTATAAACTATATATTCCATATTTTTAAATGAAAACTTAAAAATGAATTAATTTATATATAATTAAATGTTTGAATATAATATTATAATAATAATGTTATAAGTATTCAAATATTTGAATATAATAATAATAATAATAATGTTATAAATATTCTCTATATATATAGATAATTAAATATTTTTTACATACATATTTTAATATAAATATAATAAATTAAAATGTATATTTAATTAATAATAATTATAAATTATAAAATTATAAATATTTATTTATATATAAAAAATACATAATAAAATTAATTATTATAAATGTAATTATCTTTTTAAAAATAATATAGATCGGGACGTGGCGGGCGGGAACCGAAACCCAGCGGGGACGGAGATGGGGACTTAATTTTTAACCCGGCATGGATCGGGGCGGGGACGAGGATGGTTAAAAAGTCGGGGCGGGGATCGGGAGGCAAAACCCGCCCCGCCCGTCCGTTGCCATGCCTAGTTGAAGGGAAGATGCTAGTTAAAACATTCCCGGAATTAAAGACTATTTATAAGGAAAAAAGATGAAGTAAGTATAAATATTTACCTTTAAAAGACACTCCAATTCAAGTTTAATTCAAGTCAATTTTTAAATATGATAAATAAAAGAATGAGTTAAGAAGTAAGATTTACTTCTTAGTTATATCTTTTTATATAGTATTAAAAAGATAACAATTGATCGAGATATAATAACTAATAATCCATAAAATAATAATTAATATAAGATATTATAATGGAATAAAGATAATTAATAACAAAATAAATGAAAGTAGTACCTTTAATGGATTTGGACCGATAAACACGATTAATTGACTCAATAATTTTAGATTGGTTAGGTACATAAGCCTTCAAGTTTGGAGGACGAAGACTAAATGAGCTTATAAGTTTGGTATCTTAATAGACAACTTTAATAAAATAATTGGTATATGAAGAGACATTATATATTTTCACTATTATTTTCTTAAAAATTGCTCATTACCTTTTCATTTCGCATTTTCTCTCATTATTCCTCTATTGAACTTCCTGATTCTCTTATTTGCGTAATCCTCTCACACTTGTAACTACTCTCTACATCAATAGGTACGCTCATTTTTCTTCTACATTATGTCTAATATTGATAGAAGTAAACCTAATTCTGTATTTGTGAAAGAAATGTGAAGCGCTTTAGGACTAACAAGTAGTTCTAATGAATAGCGCACCCTATTTGTGTCTCTAGAAAAAGCTTTGGCGATGGATGCTTCTAGGTGTACTGTTGAAGAAGTCGTTAACTTTGACCGGTGCCAATAAGATAAAACTTATGCAGAATGATCTAGCTGAGACCCAATAGAGAGTGTCTACTTAACTAAATGCTTAGGAGGATGTGTCATTTCTGGTAAGGCCAAGGAAAACAGAGCACTTACTTCTCGTGCTTTGAAGGCTGAGAGTGACTTGTAAGCAGAGGTCATTCGATGCAAGGAACTCGAAGGTAATATTACTATACTAGAAGAGGAGTTGTCTTAACGTAATAGTCAACTGATCGAGTTGAAGAATATTATGTTAGATAGTTATGAAGATGTTTTGAGAAAGTCCTGCGTCAAGTTCTCCTATTCGTCCCTGAGCTAGATGTTGCTCGTTTTGATATTGAAAAGGATGTTCGCGATAGAACATTAGTAGATGATAGTTAGTAAAAACGACATTTATATTTTTCCTTTTTTCTATCTCTGGGACTGATGGGTAACTTTTATTGAATATTTTCAATGCTTTTTCAGCATATGCGTGATCTTTAACTATGCAAGTTTTGTAAGTTTTATATTCGTTTTCTCGAGTACGATACATGTATTATCAAATTATTTATACTCGTGTTTTTTAGCTCATGTTATATTTGTAACCCTAGTGAGGTATAATTCGTTTGTACTCGTATGTCTGATTAAGACACAATTCATTTATAGTCGTAACCCTGAGTAAGACATGATTCATTTATATTCGTATCCCCGAGTAAGGTGTGAGACATTCATGTTGCGTGATGCGTTTATACTTGTATACTCAAGTAAGGTTGTGACTAACTGTAATACAACTTTAGATGTGTTGCGTTCCAAGCTTGCGGAACAAGCCTTCCATTTAGCTTTTGTAATTTATAGGCACCATTATGCAGTGAGTCGGTGATGCGAAATGTCCCATCCCAATTAGGAGCTAACTTTTCTTCTCCATGTGCTTTCTACGCTTCTCCGACCTTTCTCCATATTAGGTCTCCTTTTTGAAAGTCTCTTCTTTTGACCCTAGAGTTGTGGCACCGAGCTATTATTTGTTTTATGACTTCCTCTCGGACGTGAGTTGAAGCCCTTAACTCGTCAATTAAATCCAACTCAATACATAAGTTGTCTTTGTTCTTTTGTTTGTTAAATTTTTGTTGTCACAATGATTTTTCCCCTAACTCCACAGGGATTATGATGTCGGTTTCATACGTTAGCTTGAATGGGGTTTCCCTTGTAGAGGACTAAGGTGTACAGTGATATCCTCATAATATTTCTGGTAGTTCCTCAACCCATAGTCCTTTGATATTACCTAACTTTTTTTTAATTCTCTGAGAATGACCTTATTTTAGCAACCCCGGCCTGTCATTGGATTAAGGGTGTTTGACGGATGATACTTTGTGTTGTATGTCGAGCTAGTTGAAGAATTGCTCTAAGTGTTTATCTACAAATTGTCTTCTATTATCGGTGATAAGTGCTTGTGGAAGACCATGTCGACAATTGATATTTTTCCAGACGAATTTTTGTACTTCTTGGGCTGTTATGATGGTCAAAGGTTCTACTTTGATCCATTTGGTGAAGTAGTCTATGACTACTATGAGAAACTTCATGTGTGCTCGAGCAATCGTGAAATGTATGATTATGTCCATTCCTCAAATGGCAAAGGGCCATGGGGCGACTATCTTATGCAATTCTTCTGGAGGTAAAGAGAATATTGGAGCAAATTGTTGGTGTTGTTTGCACTTCTTTACAAAGTTTTTAGCATCTTGTCTCATTGTGGGCCAGTAATACCCAACTCAAACTAATTGTGGTGCCATGTTTTTTGCACTCGAGTGAAGGCCACAAATTCCTTCATGAAACTCGACTATGATATAGTGAGCTTGTTCGTCATTTTCAGAAGAGGAATGGATATACCCCTTTTATAAAAGTCTTAATCGTATATGGTATATAGAGAGGTTATTCTTCTTATCTTTTTCGTCTTTTCCTGGTTATCTGGTAGTATATCGTGGACTATGTACTTTTTATGGGAGTCATCCACATGGGTTGTTCAGTGTTGACCTGGAAGATTTCATCTTTATCCTTACTTGGGTTCGATAATGTTTCTAGAAAGAGAGTCTGATGTTATCCTGATTTCTTGGTACTAGCCAATTTTGATAAGACGTCAACTCTATCGATTTGTTCTCATGGTACATGTTGTATGATGAATTTATCAACGCCCTTATGATGTTTTTGGCTATATAATGGTATTTCTGTAGGATGAGTTCTTTAGCCTGATATTCATCGTTTATCTAGCCGGTCACGAGTTGAGAATCACTTAGGCACTGAAGTTGTTTAACTTCCATCTCTTTTGCTAAATATAACCCAACTAGTAATGCTTCGTACTTAGCCTAATTGTTTGAAGCCTCAAAATCAAATCTTATCGCTTGTTTGATGACTACATCATTAGGTCCTTCCAAGATTATTCCCGCTCAACTCCCATTTTTGTTGGAAGAGCTATAAATACTGAGAGTTCAAACCTCGTATTACTCTCCCATTGATGGTAATTCGGCCAAGAAGTCGGCAAAGAATTGAGCTTTCATTGGTCTCCTACTTTCATATGTGAGTTCAAACTCGAACAATTCAACAGGTCATTTGGTCATACGCCCCGCAAGTTTGGGTCATGGTAATATTTGCTTAATCGGGTAGTTGGTTTTTACTACGATGGAGAATCCCTGAAAGTAGGGTCGTAGTCAGCAGACGGAGTGGACGATAGCTAATA